AGCGGGCCGCACATGTTCTCCACGTGCTGCATCTCCTGCGCCGAGCTGCGGGCAGAGCGGGCGAGGTGAGCGGCGGCGAGGCCGGGGCGCGTCCCGCAAAGCCCATCCCGCGCTTCGCCGCGGACGCCGGCGCTCCGGAGGCTCCGCGCGCACGGCGAGGGCGGGAAGCAGAAGCGGCGCCTTCCCGCGCCGCCTTGGGCAGCGGCCGCGGATCTGAGCCCATCCGGCCCCAAAGCGCCCGCGGGGAGACGGAGCGGCCCCTCGACGCAGCAGCAAGTGCCCGCGCGCAGAGGGACGCGGGAAGAACAGAGGGATTCAGGGCAGAATCATTGCTGGAATGGAGCTGCCAGGGAGGTGGGAACGCTGCCCGGAGCGCTGCTGAGTCAGGGCGGGAGCGCCGGCTCCGCCGGGCTGCCAGGGAGCATCCAGGACTGGGGCTGCCGGGGAGCGCCCGGGACTGGGCGCACGCACGGAATGCGCTCGGAGCTCCCGGGGACCCTGCAGCGCGAGGGGACGTGGAAGGAGGGGAGAAGGGGGAAAATCCGGGCGGTTTCGGAGGAGGATCCGAGGTTCCTCTGAGCACATGTGAGGAAGCGGGTGGCAAACGGTGCCGGGGTGGCGAGCCGGGCTCGTCACCTCTCCAGCAGGAGCTCCGGCAAGACGGAGCCTCCTGGGAATCGTCTCCCGCTCCGCGCGCCGCTAAAGCTCCGGCTTAGGCCTCCTTCACCTGGGGAAGCCGGTCCCAGGGCACCGCAGGGATATTCCACCCAAGCTCCTTAAGAGCAGCGCCCGGAACAACCCCCTTTCCCCTGCAGGCTGAAGCCCTCTAGCTCCTGCGTCGGCATCCAAAGCTCAGACGGGAAGGGCTCATCCTACACCCCGCGCCAGCACCGACCTGTCGCCGGGACCCCAAGGGAGGCCGCTCTCCATCTGCGGCGCTTTCGGCATCTCCAAACCCTGACGGCGCCCGAAGTCACTGATTATATTACAGTAATTAGCGCCGGATGCAACCGAGCGCTCCCCTCGGCAGCCGGTGGGGCAGGTCCCGCCAGCCGGGTGAATCGGGGCCCGGGCGGCTTCCCGAACCCCTGCGGCAAAATCCTCCGGCGGCCGCTCCGGAGCTCCGCGACGCGGAAGGGGGATCCCGAGGAGCGTGGGGCCGCTCCGTGCGGGAAAGCGCCGCCCCGCGCGCCTCTTATCCCGCTCTCCGCGCGGTCCCTTCCCTCTCCTCCACGTGCAGGGGTCCCTTTGGGGGGACGGCAGCACAATCGGGCGAGAAGCCACGCGAGCCGCGGCGGGAGACACCGAAACCCGGGACCCCGGGGCCCGCGCGGTCGGGTCCAACCCGGGGGTGTCGCGGGGTCCTTGACCACCCGCCCCAGGCCCCTCTTCCCCGCTCCATTGGCTTCTCCTCACATTTCCCCTCGTTTTTCCCCCCACGGGTTTCCAGGTGAGTCGGCAAAATCCCTTTTGCGTCTCGTAGGGAGCGGTGCGGAGCGGAGGGTGCCGCTCGCGGCCGCCCCGACCAGAGCACCAAGGGCTCAAGGAAAAGCCGCAGGGTCCTCGGGAAACCCAGCGGAGCCCCAAGGCTGCGGAGCGCGGGCACAGGACAGGGCCGGCAGAGCCGGGGCGAAACCCGGAGGCTCTGCCGCCTCTCCCGAGCCTGCGGCACCGGCCACGCTCCCTGGCTGCTCCTTCTGCAGGGGGAAAGGTATCGGGAAAGAGGAGAGCAGGAGGATGGTTCCCAAAGCGGCGGCCTTCGCTGCCGAGCTCTTCCTCCCGCGAGCGCCGCCGGCGCATGGGGGGCTGCGTCAAAGCGCCCCCCGGCACCGGCTCCCTCTGGAATTCCCAGGGAATCCCAGGAAAAGCAAGCGGGATTGAGGCTGCCCAAAGTTCAGCCTGGCGAGTTAGGGTGGAAAGAGGAGAAGTAGCGAGAGGGAACGTTAAAACACATGAATAACAGAGCGGGCTCTGCCGAGCGCAGGGAGGATCCCGAGGGGAGCCTTTAAATAGGGATCGGTCGTTAATCCGGCGCCTAACGCTGAGCTCCACGGAAAAGCGCCGGGACGGGAAGGGAGGAAGCGGCGGCGGGAGGAAGGGCCGCAGGGCCGGGATGCGGGGGACCCTGCGGGGAGGGCGCGCGGGCCCCCCGGGGCCGCGGGGTTCGGGAGCCGGGGACGGGGGACCCGGGGGGGCGGAAAGGGAACCGTGAGGATGGGGGAGGAGAGAACGAGCGGGCCCGGAGCGCCGGGATGCGGGGAAACACGGAGCACGCGGGGGGACCGAGGGCTGGGGGAGGAGGGAAGCCGGGGGGGCCCGGGGGGGCCCGGGGCACGCACCGCTGCAGCTCCTCCTCCTCGATGCGCTGCCCGTCCCACACGAAGACCCCGGCGAGCGCCGCCATGAGGCGGCCGGCCGCGGCGGCGGAGCCCCACGAGGAGGAGCGGCCGCGGAGCAGCCCCCGCCAGAGCCCGCGGCGGCCGCGCTCCGC